GTTCTTCCCTACAGAGACTCGCCCAGTGGGATGATCAGATCATTAATTCACAGGGGATTCACAGCGTAAAGACTCACATGTTCCACAGCTGCAGCTAAAAATAGACAATACAGCGGTTCGTCCCTAAAGAGACCCACCCAGTTGGCTGATTGGATTGTTAATTCACAGCGTGAGGTGGAGTGGGATTACACCTGGGGAGCTACGGACTAATATCCCATTCATCACATTGGTAAGTAGTGGATAATTCCTACAATGTAAATTTTTTTTTTTGAAATTCTAAAATTAGGGAACTCCCGATTTTTTGGTGTTTTGACATTCGAAATCGGGACGATCGATCCCGGTTAAATCGGGACAGTTGGCAGGTATGATATTTTTGACAAATGTTAAACAATACAATCAAAACTGAAGATACAATTTTGAGATACCATGTCTGAATGGCATAGGGCAATCAACTTTATATATATTATAATGCAATCAATATAGAGCATATTAAGACCCATCAATAGTGCATATAGTTCTAAAACCCTAGTTCAGAAGCATCTCTGTTCTACAGCATGAGGCATTTTGTTTTACTTTACTTCTTGTTATGGACCCACATGCAAATACGTTTTACATTTGTTTAAAACTTTACTTAGTTATCCACGTTGAATTAGTTAATTCTAACTTGTACTTTGTATTTTTAATGCTTGCTCTTTTTATGTAATGTTCTTTGTGGATATGTAATAAATCAAATCAAATGCAGTACATTTTGATTTTGAAGAAATGTGGAGCCAACTCCATTATTTTCACAACAGGTATTACAATCTACATTTATCCTGGCACAGAATAAACATTTTAGGTAAAACAATATATCCTAACATTTACTTCGGATATCCTGTTGTTTAATTCCAAAGGCACAAGGTGTGTTTTCTTTTCACTTCACATCCTATTTGTTTCAAGTGAAGAATTGCTTCTAAATCAGACCAAAATTCACCCAAAGACCCCGGTGACCCAGTTGGTCATCATCTACAGCAGGGTGGGCATGAAAGTGGGTCGAAAGGTCAAAGCTGACTTTTTATTTAGCACGGAGGGCCTCATTCAAAATTTTGGTGTTTCCTGTGTGCTTCCAAAAGCATTCATACACTGCTGTTTTAAAGCTGAGCTTTATACTCAGCTTTAATATTACATTTTACAGATCGTCAGTCCATAAGAAACAAGATGTTTTCTAGCTGCACACATAGCGACTTTAATTAATTAAACACACACATAGGGACGTTAATTAATTATGCCACAAGAAATCACTGTTGGGAAGAAATTTGTCCACCTGGGATCTACAGTATACGGCAGAATTCCAGTTGGGTTTTGTTTCATTCTTACATATCTCTCTTTTTGTACAAAGTAATCATTTAGAAAAAAATGACATACTGTATGTTTCTATACAAGTATATACTGTATAATTGGTTTTAAAAAAAGTTTTAAGGATAATATTGTCAGTCCTACACCTTTTATCAGCTTAACTATAGCTGAACCAAAATAAAATAATATACTGCAAGAGCAAACAATAAGAAATAACACATGTAATAATATCTCCATATTCACCTAGTAGTACTGTACAAATGAGTGAAACCAATTCGATTGTAGTCCACCTTAAACTGGAACACTCCATAAACATCAGGAAGCTTAAATTTAGTAGAGAATCTTCCATCTGAAAGAAAGAAAAAAACTACAATATAACTGAAATGCAAAGATTGAATGAAAACCAAGACAAAGTTTGCAAGGTGAATATATAAATATAAATCCTGGTATATTGGAAGTTGATATTTAAAAAGATCTGTTGATTTTGCTTAACCGATCAACCCCTAGGCCCGCATTAATGCAGGCCGAGGTCACCAGGGACGATCGTAATTAATTATGCAATTAATTAACAATAATTATTTAAAAATCGTATGCACGTAAGTTAATAGTGTGCATGTAAGTTAAAAAAATATTCCTTCTTCCATTTATAATTAATTTCTAAGTTTAGGGTAATTAGCAATTTGTAATTTGATCGTTGTTTTTGTAACATGATCGCCTTGATCGAGGCGTCGGCGTCAATACTGATGGTGAATAAAATCACCTGTAAACACACTTTATTGTCAGAAAATAACTATTCTGACACTTTCATACTATAAATATATTTTCAAAATACTGTACCAGATTTGGTTATTATATCGACATATTTCCGCGTAAAATTGATTTTTTTTGTGGCTGAAAGCAAAGCATGTGCTATAAATTACGCTTGACGCCATCTTGTGTGTTTACAAAAATGACAATGAACCCTCAACATGATCGTTGAACTTTTCAACTTTCTGTGACCTGCGCCCTCTACACGTTGAGACAGATGAGAAAATAAAGAAAAATTTTGATACCATATTGTCCTATATCATCGTAATTTTTCGTATTTTTTTCATATTTTTTTAAAAAAATCATCTGAATTTTTTAAACACACAATACGCAATTTTCGCAAGACCTTGGAAGGCTAGGCAGAAAATTATAAATTATGGATTTTACCTAGCGAGGTAAGTTAGGCTATTCAAGGTATGGTGCGTAGTGGGGAATGGGTGACTGAACGCGGCGAGGCGCCTAGGGCCCCTTCGATGTAAAATTTTATATTATTTTTATCTTCCAAAGTTCTTCGTCAATAAATTCAATTTTAGATTTATTTTGTAAAGGAATAATTTGTGCTGATGTGGAGATGTGTTTGTATTCTGACTACTGACTCAGGATTCAATAATTTATTTTTAAAATTATTCATCAAAAAATATTTATAAAATAAAACAATAATTGGAAATAATTTATTTTTTAAATACCTTGAAATTCATGCATATTTGAGAAATCAGCCTTCAAAGTTTATGATTTCAGGCATTTCTCAGGCAGAAACCATCACTAAATCCTTGAAAATTGTTGTTTTAACATTAAAAATGGGGAAAATAACAACATAGCATGATATATAAAGGTGAAATAAAATACATTTCCAAAATGTTGGCATCCCAGGATGTTTTGGTCATAATCTCTGAAATACGATTTGCGACGAGTGACTGGTTTGGTTTGTCTTTGTCACATGTATCAATCATAAACTTATGGACAACACTCCCAGCTACTGAAAGGTCATCCCCTGCCTTAGCTTTTGACCATGCTTGAGGCTCTAACAATCAATATTCATATTTTAAAGAAAGGTTATTTGGATTATTAGTTAGAAAAGATTGTTCGTAATGACGTATCGCCAGAAGAAGATTGTTACTTGTGCAGTATGATGTTTCAAAGGCCAGTTTTCAAGCTTAAAAATAAAAGCAATTTAAAGCCTAAGTAACATGAATTTCAGACCCTGAGCAAAAGGTCTACTGACATAGTACCAGCAGTATTAAAAAAAAAATAAAATAACGAAAACGGACTGATTATAAGTTTCCAATTTCACTGTGCTTTGGCAAAACAATATTTTTTTTTGGCCTCATAAGCAAATGTATGCAAGCTATGAAATAGAAAGGCCTTACCACATGATCTTCAATGGTGTAAGCAGCTGGGGGTGTCTTTTGTCCGACAATATGATGGCTAACACCGGTGACACGAAGTACGCCCTTCTCCTTGAACACCCATTGAGAGAGAGCATATGCAAGGTCTTGGTTGCCAGACTTAGCAAATCTATGTGAAAAAAACAAAAAAAAAAACAAATAGTGAAACTAAAAATCTGTTGAAATTATTGTCTAGGGATAACGATTTCAAAGAGAGCATTATATCTTAGTCAACTAAATTTGTGGTAGCCACTGTGTTTGGCAATCATGGAGATCACTGGATCCCTGATTCAATCAAGTTCATAGTCCCTCTGTGCAACATGGCCCATGTGCAAGAATGTACAGGTAGTATACACTTCAGCAAAGAGCCAGAGATTGCTCTTACACTACAACACTAAAAAGAACCACTAAAAAAAGTTTTCGGACTTTAGTGTATTTTCTTACGCTGTTCTACACCAAAAAAAACCAACTTAACTTTAACATTAGTACCCAACTTGCAACGCGATAACTCTGCCCCTTTTGTAAACAAATAAAAAATATGCATGCGGAAACCCATATCTAACGTCCATCGAGCACGAAAACTCCACAACTCAAGATGAATATATTATGACGTCATCTGTTAACGTTAAGGTTAACGTCGTGCAGCGAAAACTCTCTAATAATACACTGTAAAACCTTATTTTTGCGATTTTGCAATTTGAAATATTTTTCAGCTTTTTTAAGTACAATAGCTTAATTTTTGTGACCATCGTTTTATCCGGAAAATTAAGGGTTACGAAAAAAAGGGGCTTTACAGTATTGAAATTCATGCAGAATAAAGATGAATCCCTGAATTGAATACCTGTATAAATTTTTAATGAAAAAAAAGGTGCATAATTTGCTTACTATTAATGCAATAATTAGACTTATGTATTAAATCATAAATATAAATACACTTATCATCCTATGATTAAGATGAAAATTAAAAAGCACTATGGAATTGCTCTGTACCTTTCAGAGCCTGCAACGGCCTTTTGAACGGCAGACTGGAAGTAAGCATCGCTGAAAAACTCCAAGGAACCAGAGAACACAACGCGAGCATTGTTGCGGGCCTGGAGGGCAGTGATGAACTGTGTGTTCTTACCAACAGCGTGTGGATAGTCGACGATGTCATCAGAAGGATTGTGGGAGTATGAGGAAGAAGTACCGTGTAAGATATCCATTACCAAGGGGTTCTCCGGGTCGGCAGTCATTCTAAAATTATGAAAATACATAGTGTTAATAAATAGATATATTTCACTTTCTATAAAATTAGTGTTCTTTAATGTCTTATACAAGTTCACCCTCCAATTTGGGGCCACGTTTGGGCCCTAATTGGAGGGTGAACTTGGAGGGTGGTCTAGGGATTCGGTCTCTTGTTAGCATAGTATTTTGTGGAAATACAACCTTTCAATTTAATATTACTACTGTATACTTACCCAACACCCTTGAATAAAATCGGATTTAATTTCTTATCTCTTACAATGGTTTTAGATTCTATGATGTTCGAGGGATCAGCTACGATCAATGTATGCTACAAAAGGATAAAAACAAAATATATTAAACTACTAATATTTATATTTCACTTTATTCAAATTCAAGTACAAGTTCCTCGTTTGTAACAATTTGTGGCCAATGGCCAAATTGCAAGTTACAATTACACGAGGGAATGGCAATAAAACATATAAAAAAATACATTAAAATGGAAGATAATTATTGTCATAATAAAATTATTATTGTAAGAATTGACATTAACAATGAAATTTAATATGATAAAACTTTAAATTAAAAGGAAGATTACTATTATCATTTTCGTTCTTAAGCCTAGTTTTATAAAATTGCTACATATTGAAACTGCTCTCGACACGACATGGAACACTTCCTAATTTGTCATCGATGCCATCAGCAAAGCTGAACCAGTTTTACTTTTCAGACTTGTTGGCAATGTACCGTATTGCCAAATACATATGAGGTGAGCTGGCCACTATAAACATATTTTTTCCAATTTTATCTGCATATTCTGAAGCAGTTTAAGTTCAATCAGTGACACTCCTAAAGCTATGAATAGTGAGCATTCGATTTGCACGATGACGCGACACTAGAACAGAATCACTCATGCATGACCGTCCAACAGGGCGTCCTACGTACTGTGCATATATAGATTTGGCCGAATTGTGGCCTAGAATCCACGTAACGGGCAGAACTTAACGTTCTCGCATGCGCAGATGACATTTAGTGACATCATTACGTTTTCAAGCCCTACTGTCGTCGTGCAATCGAAAGCTCCCTACTTTCAATTTCATATACTCAGCAAGCCTTCATCTTTGAC